TTTTTTTTTTACTTTATTACGTAGATAAACTTTATTTACATAATTATTTGTGATTATCAATAACAGATATAATTAATACCTACTTTGAGTATTATAAGACAAGATCAATATAGTGACTATCMTTTTTTTATTTTTATTTTTTCATTTACTATTATTAAAATGTTTCAGAATGTTAGGTGCTATTACAAGTACAGTATAATAAATTACAATTAAAATTTAATTTTTTACATAGGAATAGCTAATAATCTAATTATACACGAATAGTAAATTAATAATTAATGAGTTGATCAAATTTGATTCAATAGAAATCAATACGTACAAAATATGGTTATATTGCCTGAATATGCTGTGTTAAAATATATGAATGTTAATTATATAATACTATACAACATTCAGAGCATTCAATCTCAAATATAAAATAAATAAATGTATAAGAGTGTTAAATCAATAACTGWTTTTTTTTATTAAGAGGAAATAGTTATTAATGCCCGAATAAATAGTGATTGACATTTTATTAATCAAAAGATTATTCAATTCCATATTAATATTTAATAGAGATCTTAATATTTTATCATAAGTTCAATGATTTATATATATAAAACTATAACAAGTCTAGAAAAGTAAATAGGTACACKTAGACAAATATTATTACTTAATCTACTATACAATCTAACGAGAGAATCAGAGACATGCCTCATTCATTAATCTATACACCTACCAATCACCTATGTAAATTTGATAAGTCATTTACAAAAATTATCATACCATAATAATGAAATTTCATTGTTTCATGTTGTATAGTGCAAAACATGGTGGTGACATAATTAAATATGCATTTGAGAGCAAACCAATAATTATTTTAATATTTCATATAGGTACTTCATCATACTATAATCCTGAACTATAAAATATTCATTTTCTGCGCATGCTTTTCAATTTTCAATAAATTCTAAAATCACAAATAAAACTCCGTGATAATTTCAACTTGCGATTGGAAGTTGATTCTATTTTAGAGTATACATTAATCATATTAGGGCTATAGAACAAAACGATGTTATACGTTTACACATAAAATGGATGATATCGAACCAACATAAAATACATTTAAGACTCACATGAAAATATATCAAACTCATTTTATAGTAAACTGTGTGACTAGTGATCAAGGATACTACTTGTTTAAAATTTTAAGTAAACTGTAATAAATCATTAAACTATAAATTAAGACCAACAACTGATGCTCYTCTAAAAGTTTCAAGATGATCTATCTACTGATTTTAAATTCAGTGTACCTAGTTGGTTATTTTAAAAATGTTTTTGAAACATAAACGTTTTCAGAGTTAAAGGTAAGAAAACATCACACGAATTCTATGATATAAATAGTTAATTGCCGTTAAATGTGAAAAAAAGTACTTATAAACGACTATCCTGGCTAAAAGTATTGAAAGAAGTGTCTGTTAATGTGCTA